ATGCGGCCAGCGCTACGGCGGCGAAGGGGGAGGCGGCGGCGCCTTCGTCGGAGTTGGCGACGGCGGCCTAGGCGGAGGCGGTCTCGGCGGCGGTGGACTCGGAGGCGGTGGCGAGGGCGGTGGAGGCGAGGGAGGTGGCGGGCTGGGCGGGGGTGGGCTCGGAGGCGGCGGCGACGGGGGCGGCGGCGATGGCGGCGGCGGGCTGGGCGGCGGAGGCGACGGGGGTGGCGGGCTTGGAGGCGGCGGCGACGGTGGCGGCGGGCTGGGCGGCGGCGGGGAGGGCGGAGGCGGACTTGGAGGCGGAGGGCTCGGAGGCGGCGGCGAGGGCGGCGGCGGCGAGGGTGGTGGTGGTGATGGCGGCGGAGGGCTGGGCGGCGGCGGCGAGGGAGGAGGCGGACTTGGCGGTGGCGGCGACGGAGGGGGTGGTGAGGGCGGCGGAGGAGAAGGCGGAGGCGGGCTTGGCGGCGGCGGCGAGGGCGGCGGCGAGGGCGGCGGCGAGGGCGGCGGCGGCGAGGGCGGCGGCGGCGAGGGAGGGGGCAGCGAGGGAGGCGGAGGGCTGGGTGGCGGCGAGGGCGGAGGGGGCGAGGGCGGCGGTGGCGAGGGCGGCGGCGGGCTTGGCGGAGGCGGCGAGGGCGGCGGCGAGGGCGGCGGCGGGCTCGAAGGCGGCGGCGACGGAGGTGGCGAGGGCGGAGGCGGCGAGGGCGGTGGCGACGGTGGCGGAGGCGAGGGAGGCGGTGGAGAGGGCGGCGGCGGCGGCGGCGGCGGCGGCGGCGGCGCTGGCGGAGGTGGCGGCGGCGCTGGCGGCGCCAGAGAGCGCGCTGACGGCGTCGCTCAACCTGCGGCTCGCAAACGTGTCGCCTGGAGAGACCGTCCTCATCCACGCGGCCGCGTCGGGCGTCGGTGTCGCCTCGGTCCAGCTTGCGCGGGCGGCGGGCGCGCGCGTGCTTGTGACTGTGGGATCCGCGGCGAAGCTCGAGCTCGCGCAGTCGCTCGGCGCGAGCGGCGGCGCTCTGCGGCATGACGGGCCGTGGCTAGAGGCGGTCCGTGCGGCAGCGCCGGGCGGCAAGGTGGACGCGGTGCTCGACTGCGTCGCCGGCGCGTACGCGGAGCAGAACGTCGAGGCCCTCGGCGTCGACGGGAGGTTGGTCTCTGGACTCTCTTCTCTGAACCGCTCCCGCTCCCCGACTCTCTCTCTCTCGTGCTAGGTGGGTGCTATACAGCCTCCTCTCGGGCCCAGAGATGCCCGAGGGGCTCGCCAAGGGCTTCTTGGCGACCCTGATGAAGAAGCGCGTCCAGCTTCTCGCCACCA